GAGTGTAAGTAGCAGAAGGAGTTTTTGAAAGTGACAGAGGTTTTTTGTTTTTTTGTTTTTTTTTTTCCAACAGATCCCTCCAGAGCAGCCAGAAGCCCCCTGCCTGCCCCCCGAGAGCCCTGCCTCAGCCCATGAACCGGAGCCTGCCCGGCCTCCCCTCAGTGCCTTAGCCCCACCCCATAGTTCTCCCGACCCCCCAGTCCCTGAGCTGCTCACTGGGAGGGGGTCAGGGAAACGGGGCCGGAGGGGAGGAGGGGGACTTAGGGGCATTAATGGTGAGGCCAGGCCAGGTCGGGGCAGAAAGCCTGGCAACCGGCGGGAACCTGGCCGACTGGCCCTCAAGTGGGGCACACGTGGTGGCTTCAATGGACAAATGGAACGGTCCCCAAGAAGGACCCACCACTGGCAGCATAATGGGGAGCTGGCTGAAGGGGGTGCTGAGCCCAAGGATCCACCCCCTCCTGGGCCCCATTCAGAGGACCTTAAGGTGAGTGTGGTGTGAAGGAGGTCTGAGCTCAGCTCGGAGGAAAGGCTGAGGCGTGCCCTCGTGGCACTTTCCTCACACACACAGTCCATCTCTTCTCAGGTGCCCCCGGGGTTAGTCAGAAAGTCTCGTCGTGGCCGGAGGAGAAAATACAAGTGAGTGTGGGCCTACCACCATAGTGACTCTTGCCTGCTTTGTGTAGGGACTGTAGAGATGTCCAAATAGGGGCTTGGTTTTCAGAGGGCAGATACTTCCTTGAATATGAGTAAGGATACTATGCCTTTACTACCCACATGTAGCGAGTTCCCACCCAAACTTCTGAAATTCACCTGATACTTGGGGAGCTCTTCCTGATCACCTGTGCCCCTCATTGCAGCCCTACCCGGAACAGCAATAGCTCCCGCCAGGACGTGACCTTGGAACCCAGCCCTACAACCCGAGTAAGTGCGTGCGTGGGTGGGTGGGTATATGGGTACAGTTATGCTGGGGATGAGGCAGGAGGGAAGGAGGGTCAGAGGGAGTGGGGAGAAAATAAAAGACTTCCTGATACCTAGCTGATTGGTCACTTCTTTCGACTTCCCCTCTTGGATAGGCGGCTGTCCCTCTGCCTCCCCGGGCCCGCCCTGGCCGTCCTGCCAAAAACAAGAGGAGGAAACTGGCCCCATAGCAGCCATACCTGGAGCTGGATCTGACCCTGACTGGGGAGAGCTGAGTGCTGAGCCTTGGGAGCCCCTGCCAGCCACCTGCACCTGTGGACAGTGGGTGGGGGCACTACTCCCCACTCAGAGCACAAATGCAAGCCCTTCCCCTACAATCCCATCCTGAGCCATTGCAGGGGGTAGGGAAGCTCACCCCTTTCCCCCCAAAGCCATGTCACTGAAAAGGCCTGGGGGGGGTGGTATATGGCCGTCTCCCCACCAGGCGCTAAGGGGAACACCCCCTTCCCCAGGTCTTTTATTTGTTTAAGTTATTTTTGCACAAATGACTCTTTTATATTTAATTCGACTTCATTGCCTCCCTTCTTAAAGCCAGCAGGCTCAGTTTACAAACCTGTGAGCTACTGTTGGCTGCTGTCCTCCTTCCCAGTGAAAGGTACAAAGCAATAAGCATCATGCATCCTCCCTGCACCCCTCCAACACCCCTCTGCCTCTGGCTCAGGTTGCTCAAAGCACAGATCCCCTCTTACCCTTGTCCCCAGGTTTGAAACACATAGCCTCATTTCAAGGTGTAGCCAGGTTCCTTTTACTTTCCTCTGGGATATAAAAAGGGGGTAAAGGGGCAAAGAGAGCCCTCTGGGCCTCTCCTCCCATACACACTACACTGCCCCTTCTCCCCCCATCAAAACGCTCAGAGACGTTGTGATGATGCGACTGAGGATTATGCAACGTGGTCCAACCGGAGCGGCCAGCATGACCAGCTGTCCAGGGGCTGCCTCCTGCCTTTTCTTTTGTAAAGACAAGACCCTTGGGAGTTTTAATTCTGTTTTGTACTTGCCCTGTGGGGCCTCCACTGCTTTTCTATGGGAGACACTCTTAATTTAACAGATGAGAATATTTTGAAACTCTGGCTCTGGCTCTGTATTCATTTTTTATTTAGTTCTCTGGTTAGAACCGGTTGTAGTTTAAATCCTTCTCTAGTAGAGAGTGGCTTAGACTGCCTATTATGCTGCGAATGTCTCGTCTGTGTCTCAGTTCTGCCTCTTCCCCAGGAAACACAGCAGAGGCCACACAGAGTACAACGGCATTTAATGATCAGAAACAGTTGTACAGTAGTACAGTCAGCCACAGAAGCTGTGTTGGAGGACAGGACCCAGTCCTTCCCCTCACCAGGCAAAGCAGTACTGGACATGAGCGGGCATGTGGCTGGGCCCACAAGCCTTACCCTGGGCCGAGGGGAGACCACCATCTAACATCCCCCAGCTACCGCTCTCTATTCATCAGGGGAGGGGCACAAACCCCACATGCAAGAAGAACCCTTGCCCCCAGTATCAAACGGGACTGGGATGTGAGTTATAATGAAGGGGAAACCCTATGTAAGTTGTTAACAGAGTTCAGAGGGGTAAGGATTACCCCCGTTTTCTAGCTCCCAAAGGTGCTCACTTCCCCAGCTTCTTCATCCGTTCATCAATGCTGGCAAAGTTCCCCTCAACTGTGGCCAGGTTTTCACGCATGGTTGTCTGCACCTACAAAGTGATAGAGAGGTTGTACTCTTTGGTAGGCCAACATGTTCATGTGACTGGATGAGAACCTGAAGAAATTCTCTTAGAATCAAGGACAGAAATGGAAGCATACATAACTTAGGAGCCTCAGAGGGTGTCTGTAACAGCAGTTTCAAACTACCCTTGGAATACCATGGACCTACACAGGGTCTGCCAAGTATGCAGAACTCAAGAACCCCCATCATGACTTCAACCAGAACAGTTCTTTATCTGTTTAATGTAAGGAGAGCCAAACAAGATTTTGTTGAAATGAGTTTAACTGGCTCAAATTTTAGAAAACTACTCTAGAAGAGTAATATAGCAAGTACTATATATACATAAACCTAATTTTAAAAAAATTGCCATAGGGTGTGTGCACTCACAGGGCAGTGGCAAGTGAAAAAGCACCCCCCAGGGGAGATGGCCATGCTGCAGCCCCTTCTCCACTCTGCCTCCCCCGGGATTTGGGGCATGCACGCACCTGCGTCTGGTATGTTTCTCAAGTGCTAGATCCAGGACTTACAGCACAGTTGAGTATGTGTGTACCACCAGGCCTCCGGCAGGTCCACTTTATATGTATTTTCTTTTTTTTTTTTTTTTTTGAGAGGTTTTTGCTATAGGGCACATGTGCTTACCAGAGAGACAGAAAACGAGAAATCACCCCTCAGAGGGGGGATGGCTACACCGCAATCTCTTCTCCATTCTCCTCTCGGGATCTTGGGTATGCACGCACACACACACGCCCGGCTGAGTTTAAGCCACCAGGTCCGGGACTTGAACCATGGTTGACCACATGGGAGTCAAGCGACATGGCCATTACACCAACTGCTGGTCCCTCATTTAGATATCTTGATGGTCCTGTGATGTTGCTCTATTGACTCTATGCTCCCTTCAGCACTGAGAAAAGCCTCTGTCAAAACCTGAGGACTTTCTATGTGTCCAGCTTTGCTGTAATGACTGCAGGTGCTGTTCATGCCAGGGTCAGAAAGGAAGTAGCAGAACCAGATAGGAGCCTGGTTCCTGATTTCAGAGCCCTTTTTATTTTCACTATACTAGGCTCAGTTGCCTCTGGCCAGGGATGGAGGTATAAACTTAAGTCTAGGCTACAGAAGAAAAGGGTAGGTCTTTATTTTTAAATTATTTAATTTTATTATTATTATTTAATTTTCTATAGGACACATGTGCTCACCAGGGAGAGACAGAGGGAAAGTGAGAAAGCAAGCCTCCAGGTTCAGGACTCAAACTGTGGCTGGCCATGTAGGAGTCCAATACCTTAACCATCACGCCACCTGCTGGTCCCAAGGGTAGGTTTTATAAGAAAACACATTTACTAACTCCCAACAATTCGACCACATATCACCTAATCCACACAGCTCTGAGGGAGGTGTGCTTTTCCAAGTGGACAGTTGGATGCTCATGGATTAAGCTGTCTTAGGGGCACACACACTGAAAAACAGACTCAAACCAAGCCCCTGCCATAGCATCACGCTACAGAACAGTGTTAAGGCAGAACCCTACGAGATAAGCTCGAAAACCCAGCATGTATGTGCTGGAGAAAAGAGAGCAGATCAATAAAGGGACACATACCTGGGTCAAGAGGGTGGCATTGTCCTTGAGGGAACTAGCAATCATCTGCTGGGTAGTATCCAAGTGTGTCAGCAGTTGCCCAAACTGCATGGCTACAAAAGAAGTAGCAAAGGTATGGCAGAGCCTAGGACCCAAGACGGGAGGGGCAAGCTGAGGTTGCCCACTCTTCATCCACTCTCAGCACCTGGCAGCTGGCTCCTCACCTTGTTCGTGCAGCTGTTTGATGGTGACGAGTCTCTGCACCAGCTCAGGAAGGGTGGAGGCAATGGGACTCCAGCGCTGTATGGTTTCATATAACTGGTGCACCTGGAGGGCACAAGAGGGCCTAGGGGGATGGCAGAGGCAGCCAGTGACTGCTACTTTATGAGAGGGGACAGGCCAACTAGGCAGAGAGGAGCACTGCCCTGACCTCAGCTGAGGAGAGTTGATGATGATAGGGACCTGAGGATTCAGTGAGTTCCCAGGCTTTGGTATGGCCACTTGGAGAACCACGGAAATGGAAAGAGGTGTGAAGATAGAGGTGTTTTCCTGACCTTGCTTTGTGTATCTGCATCCTCTACAGAGGCTTTATGCTTTGCAATCTCATTCACCTTTCCCAGGACACTCTGAAAGCACAGTTTAAGGTTGAAAGTGAGGGCACACACGGCTTTCAAGTCCCAAGCTACCCATAAACCAAACTGTCTTTCACTTGATACCTGTAGCCGGGCCTCCACTTGGTCCAAAACTGCAAGGTCCAGGGCGCTCACCTTGGCCTGCAGCAGCTCTACAGTCTCCTGAGGTAAGAGTTGAAACAATGAAGGAGAAAGGATGAGAAGAAGAAGCAGCCTCCCACATTCCACTGGTTAGTTAACTTATAGCTACAACCCCCAAAATAACTCAAAGCAAACCCAGTCCCAATATCCTCTTTGCAATCCAAACACCCCAATTCTTCCCACACTTACCATAAGACAAGCTCCCTGTAGACCTGCAGAAAGGGGATTCTGGTGGGAAAGCGAGGGGAGACATCACCGTCCTTAAATCTCCATGTGATTACCACTTTCTCCCATCCTTCTTGGTTCTAGCTGACAACCCACTCATTCTCTTTTTTTTTTTTTTCTAAGAATTATTTTATTTAACTTTATTTATTTTAATCTGACCAGAGAAGGACAGAGAGAAAGAGAGAGAGAGAGAGAGAGAAAGTGAGAAGGCAAGCTGCCAGGTCTAGGACTCAAACCACAGTCAGCCAAGTAGAAGTCCAGCGCCCTTAACCACACTACCTGCCGGCCCAACCCACTAATCCTTACAACTGAAACACTTTCTGACTCCTGCCCGCTCATGTGGAATGCTGTAGACTGCAGGGTGTAGGACCTGAGGGCCCAGAGAACACCTGACCTGAGCATCCTGATCACAGCGGACAGCTGCCTCCAGCTCTGTCAGGCGCCTCTCGAGTTCTGCAACCTAGTGGGAGGGAGGAGTGAGATCTGTCATTCACCTCCCTGCCGCTGTAAGTGGGAAGAATAAGATCCTGCTCTTCTACACTTGCCACTCCCTTCTTCCTCCACTCCCTCTCCTCTTTCCCAAGGCACTCTGCCTGCAACACTTTGCTAGCCACAATCTTAAAATCCTAACTGAAAGTACAGGGGTGAGGGGATCATGGAGAATGAGATATCAAGAGAAATCAGAAGCTTTCCCAGCACCCTCTCCACAGGTCGGATCCCCTGGAGGGAAGCAGGAAAATCCCTAGGGCCCTGTCTCCTGATCCCTCTAAACAACACTGTATATACATACACACACTTACTTTGGCAGCTTGAGAGAACTTGTCCTGCTCAGGCCGAGAATGTAGTTCGTAAGTGACCAGGCTGCTATCTGAAGGGGTCCCGCTGGTAGTCTTTCCTCCAGAACCAGCCCCTTTGCTGTTCTTTGTTGCTTCCAGCTGCAGCAGTAAGCGCCTGAGTCAGGAGGCAGAGTAATAACATGACTTAAAGAAAGAGGGCCAGTCACTCTCTCTCTTTGGCTTCACAGTCACCGTTAAAGAACACCTAGGCCAGAGACCAACAGTTAGTGTAATGGCTATGTCGCTGGACTCCCGTGTAGTTGACCATGGTTTGCATCCCGGACCTGGTGGCTTAAAACTCATGCTGGGCGCGTGTGCGTGCGTGCCCAAGATCCTGAGAGGAGAATGGAGGAGAAAAGATTGCGGCGTGGCTATCCCCGCTGGGGGGTGATTTCTCACTTTCTGTCTCCCTGTCTGTCTGTCTGACTGGCAAGCGCATGTACCCTATAGAAAAAACCTCTACAAAACAAAACAAAACAAAACACCTAGGCCATTGCTCCCTTTAGTATCCCTGTCATTAGCTGGCTCAGTATCTCCACGATCCCAGTCAGGAATGATTTCCAGCAAGGTGTGGGCACCCACTTAGCCAGAGCTCCATCAGGGTCGGTCAGGCTGATCGCGGCATCTGGTCCTAGCAACTTCTCCAGGTGGGAGGCCACCAGCTGCTGCTTCAGGGCTGCCAGCTGCTTGGCCAGCACCACAGGGGTCAGCTTCTCCTCAGCGGCCGACTCCTTCACTGTTGTCTGGTATAAAGGTAATGGAGAGAGGGGTGACAATGAGTCAGGAGGAAAAACAGACCCAGACTCTCTTGTGGCTACATGTCACAGGATCTTTTTTAGCATGGTAGACTGCCTTCTAGAGCACTGAATGTAGATTCGTGTGTCCTCCTAAACTCTGGAAACCTTAGCTCTTAGGGAATCTTTCTTCTGCAGGGAGGTGCTCCTCTGCTGTGTAAGTCACAGCATCTGGGGGAGAAGAGAGTTAGCAGTTACCTTGATTTTCTCAACTTCAGTTGTCAGCTCCTGGACCTCATGCAATAGTCGCTGGTACTTTTGCTGGGGTGTCTCCTTCACTCCCAGGCCCTCTCCGAGCTAAAGAACAAGCACGGTAGGTGATGTTACACCTCCCATTACAGGGAGCCTCAAGAATTCATCCAAACCCTGGGCCTAAGTCACACACTATCATATCCAACTCACAGTCCACCACACCCTAGTGGAGAATGGAGATGGCTCGAGGCCTGGAGATGTTCCAGGACAAACAGCAGGGGGACAGAACATCCTCAACTGCATCCTGCTGGGTTGCCCAGCCGGAGAAACTCAGGGTCCCTGTAGTCCTTGCTCACCCTCCTAAATGCTGGTTAGACGGGGTCACCATACCATTCCTATCAATACACAACACACACACAACAAACCATCTCATATTCTCCAGATTCATATCCTGTCCTCTTGGTTTTTCCAATACGATCTGAGAAATCTGCCAAGAAAAGAAGATGGAACTGAGGGTGTGTCAAAGCCTAGCAGTCTCCACTGCAGGTGACTGTGAGAGATTTCATAAGAGAGTCCCATGTGGGACCCTTTCCCCAGAGTAAAGGTCACTAAGACCCGAGGACAAGAAGCCACTTGTCATTCTTGTCCTCCAGGCTTCCCCCCAATCAACTTCTAGCCCAGTCTCACCAAGTCCCTTTGTCCCCACTCTCTTGTCCTTGAACTTGTCATAGGCAGCATTGGGGTTGACAATGATGTGCTCCACACTTGTGCTTGTCAGCTCCTCCTGTAGGAATAGGTAGGTCAGGCCAGGACACACACGTTTCTACCCTAGAACATCCCTTATGCCACAAAATCTCCTAAACCTTAAGAGACTGGGCTGTACTTTTCCCAAGGGAAACAAGGGTGATTATATTCTAAGCTAGTGACCCAGGCTCAACCTAGGAAACTGAAGCTTCCTGGTAGATTAGGAGCCTCAGTTATATAAATATTAGCACCCCAATTCAACTTGGAACAGAGGTAGAGTAACCTCCCCACCCACTCTGTACATAAGCCTCCCCATTCCCCACCCCACCCTGCCCCACCCAGTTATCTGGCACATTCATGCACTCAAGGCAAGAACTCAGCATGACCTCTTCTAACCTCCCTCTCCCCGAAGTAAAGCTCCTGCCCACTGGGCAAGTCTACTTTCAAGCTGACCTCCCATCCTGGCTGGAGGGAAAAAGAGGAGGGAAGGTAGACAATCAGGCCACTGAGTGCGGAAGTTAGGACTCTACACACCTGAAGGTAGGATACCAGCTCTTAGATATGAAAGGATAGCAGAGGGCATTTCCAGACTGCCAGGAAGCCAGTGAATTCAGGGGATAGTGAGAAGAGGCACAGGCTTACCGGGTTATTTTTTAAAGGTCTACCTTAGAAGCAACACAGAGAAGCACTAATTGCTTACCAATAGCACACCTCTGGGTGTAGGCCCTGAAATGGAGCTAGTCCAGCATCCCTTCACAGAGAAGCTGCAACACCTGCTGCTTCTCCTTGATCCCTCTGCTGTGCCTCAGGCACTGCAGCAATTCCACACAGGAGACACAGCAGAGAGAGACTTTATCCTAGACACTGAAGCAGAGAGGTTCCTCCTTACTAGTCATGACTTGCTGTTTAGAGTCTAAAGACCACACCCAGACTGGGCACTCCTCAACTGCCTGAGGCTGCACAGCTTTCACCAGAATACTGAAGGAAGGTGAAAGAGGCCTCAAGTCCTTTTCTGTTGGGGATGACACTGCCACCTTCTCTAAGAGGAAGGCAAAATGAGTCCTCTTGGGACCAGCAGTTAATGTAATGGCTATGTTGCTGGATTCCCATGTAGTTGACCGCGGTTCGCATCCTGGACCTGGTGGCTTAAAACTTACGCTGGGCACGTGTGTGTGTGTGCCCAAGATCCCGAGAGGAGAACGAAAGAGAAGGGATTGTGGTGTGGCCATCCCCCCTGGGGGGTGATTTCTCGCTTTCTGTCTCTCTCTGTCTGGCGAGCACACGTGCCCTATAGCAAAAACCTGTCCCCCCACCCCCACCCCCCAAAAAAAGAAGAGTCCTCTCTCCTTTACTTGAGACCATGGTTCTCAACCCTGTACATTACAATGTTTAAACACATAGAAAATGTTTAAACACACAAATAAAAGCCTGAACCCACCTCTATAGACTCTGATTTCATTGTCCTGGTTGGGGTAGGGCATTAAGGGGGCGGGGTAGGCAGCCAGGCCTGAGCACCTCTGCCTGCATGCGAGTGTGGTGTGTGGTCGTGAAGGGGACATGGAGGGACATCATGGAGGAGAGCAGCAGATATAATAAAAAGCAGCTCTGTCCTTTACCTCTGTGCTAATAAACAGAGAAGCAATCAGGGTGGGTGGAAGCATTTAAAAGAAGGGAGAAGGGTAAGAAGAGTGTGTCAACTTTGATCATCTTCACCTCTTCAGGAATTGCTGGGCGGAGGGGAAGAGCTTTAGATCAAGGGAAAACAAAAGGGCTCAATGCGGCTTACACTCAAGTGCTTGGAGGAAGAGACATCTGAGTTCCAAATGATTCTCTCTCTTTAACCTTCTCTGGAATGTTATGGCTAGGACACTCACTGGCCACCCACTGGTCTCTGGCCTTCATACAGTGTTTGTCTGAGGACTCAGGAACAGGATAGACAACTATCTTCTTTAAGTTCAAACTCAAGAATATGCCACTTCTCCCTGTGAAAATCCCTATCAAAGCCAATCAGGTAGAAATCCTTAAAAAAATAATCTCCCTTTGGGCCAGCCTTCTATAGTGGCTCAGGGAGCTGGATCCACATGGCCGACTGCTCTGTACAAAGCCTGGCCCTGTTGGCTTGAAAAATGTGCCAGGTGTGTGTGCATGCTTGGTAGAGAAATGGAGAAGGGATTGTAGCATGACCACACCCTACTAGGAGATGCTTTCTCCCTACCTGCCTAGCAAGTGCATGTGCCCTAAAAAAAGAGGAATTGAGGGACCAGCAGTTAGTGTAACGGCTATGTCGTTGGACTCCCACGTAGTCAACTGCAGTTCGAGTCCTGGACCCGGGGGCTTAAACTCACGCCGGGCGCATGTGCATGCGTGCCCAAGACCCCAAGAGGAGAATGGAGAACAAAGGGATTGTGGCATAGCCAGCCCCCCTGGGGGGCGCTTTCTCGCTTTCTATCTCTCTGTCTCTCTCTGTCTGTCTGGCGAGCGTGCACGCCCAATAGCAAAAACCTCTCAAAAAAAAAAAAAAAAAAAAAAGAGGAATTGAGGGGCCTGGTAATTAAGGTGGGTGGATCCCACATGGCTGACCACATAGCTCAAGTCCTGGACCTGGCAGCTTGAAAAACATCAGGCACTATGTGCGTGCATGCCCAAAATCCCAACAGGAAAAAGAAATGAAGGAGTTTCACCATGACCATGCCCCATGGGAGGGTGCTTTCTCCCTTTCCCTCTCCTTAGCAAACATACACTATAGCACATTTTTCAAAAGGGAGAGGGCTTATGTGATGGTAAGCACCTATAGTCCCAGCTACTTGGAAGGCTAAGGTAGGAGGATTCCAAGTTCGAGGGCAACAAAGCTAGACCTTGTCTCAGAAGGAAAAATAAAAAGGGGAGAGAAAAAGAGAGGGAGAGAGAGAAGAGGCTAACTCGCAGACTAAGGAAAGAAATTAATCATAGCTATTATTTAATCCTTTATGCACAGGCAGTATGCAGGTAAGCACTTTCTTTTTTATTTTTTTTTTAAAGAATTATTTTATTGGAGACCAGCAGGTGGCGTGCTGGTTAAAGCACCGGACATTTCCATAGGGCTGACAGAGGTTTGAGTCCCAAACCTGGTGACTTGCTTTCTCACCCCCCTCCCAAGTCAAATTAAAATAATAATAAAATAAATGAATGAGTGAATAAAATTAAATAAAGAATTCTTTTAAAAATATGTAAAAAGAATTTTATTTAACTTTATTTACTTGTTTAAATTTTTTTGACCAGAGGACAGAGTGAGAGAGTGAGAGAGAGGAAAGTAAGAAAGCAAGCCGCCAGGCCTGGGACTTGAACTATAGTCAGCCATGTGGGAATCCAGCGCCCTTAACTACCATGCCACCTGCCGGTCCCAAGAACCTCCTTTTTAATTTATATTCCTAAGCAGGACCAGGGGTTATAAAAGAGGGTCAGCACACAGAGGTGAGTTTCAGAGGCTCTGAACAGTCACGGACACGGAGAACATTTTCATTCCCCTAGTCCCTGCCGGAGGAGCACGCCCTGGGCCAGGAAGCCTGTCCAACAGTGCTATATCCCTTTGAAGGCTTCCCAAGGACGGGGCCCCTTGAGGCTCTAGTCCTTCAGTGACACCTACTCTGCCAGGTCTGGAAGATCCGTGGCATGAGCTGGAGGAATGTCAATATAGTGACTTTTGAGACAGGAAAAGGTTGTCAGCTGGGTGTGGGGCTGTGGGACTGATTGAGGGATGAAAGATTTAGAAGAGACAAAAGGACAGAGAAACAACTGCCCATCACAGCACACCCCGTTAAAAAGCAGATGAAAGGTCAGGCTTCTTACCAGCTCCTTGTGGTTTCCCCAGAGGTGAGAAAATCAAAAGAGTTAAAAGAAAAGGGAGTGGGGTATGGGGATAAGGGAGGGGGAAAAAAAAAGACAAAATTGTTATTAGCAAATTGTCACATGCACTACATGACAGTCTTCAAACACACTGCACCACAGGGCCCCAGGGGAGCCTAGCAAAACTTGGGGGCCGAAAAATTTCAGCGGGGGTCACCACGTACCCCAAGAGAAAGAAGAGCATGAAACCCTTTCCTCTCTGGTGGTGAGGATGTCATGAAGCTTTGCCATTACCAGCAGCAATTTAAGATGGTCTGAGAACTGGAGTTAGGTGTTATGAGCTAGTGCACGGGACAGGAAAGTAAGGCGGAGAAGGTTGAGGCAGAGGGGAAGCTGTAGAAATGGCAAAATATGAAGCAGAGATTAAGGGGATTCTGAGGACCTGCAGCTGACTGAGGAGCTACGATGCTTACGGTGTGTGGGGAGGGGTTTCTCCTTACTAGCTCGTGGCCCAAGCCTTCCCACCTCCCAGTTTCTGCAGCTGTGAATAATTAGACATGTGGATGGCAGAATCAGTTCCAGTGAGGTTCTCATGTGGGTGGGCTGATATGGCTTTAGGTCAGACAAACAAAATGTGTCAGGTACATGGGGTAAGTCTAAGGAAACACAGAGTACCTAATACCTCCATTTTTATTTCCTGCTGCCAGAGGAGAGGCAGGGCAAATCTTGGCCTTCATGCAGCCTGGTACATTTGTATCCACTTGGGTGGTTGTAACTCACCCTGCAGCTCTGAGAATAAGGTGCTAGCACAAAGAGTCCAGAGCGCACCAAGATGCACAGCTACCAGCCCATCTACACTACATGTTTCCACAGTCCTCTGTGCACAGGGGCTGCAGAGTGGATAAGGGTGAAGGGTGAGAATATTTCAAAGAGGCCTTATTTTAGCCAGGCCCTACAGATAGGGCTCCCACTTCCAGGCAATATTAGTTAAGAACTGCCAGGAGGGGAAATCCAACTGTCTGCTCTGCCTTCCCAAGAGCTCTGATGGGTAGATGGAAGATTGGAGGGTTGAGGATGGCTATGTATATATGAAAATCCACAGTGGGTTAAGGACAAGTACTCCCTGCCCCAAGATTTCAGCCAGACCCACATGACCTCAAACTCTGGCCAATGCTAGGGTCCAGCCCAGCCAAGACTCTTCTTTCTGTCCAGGGCATAGGCGGCGCCAGGTCCTGTGGTCTAGACTGAGAGGTCTCTGCACAGAGTGGGCATATGCACTCACGGGTACATACATGTGAACATATAAGGGAAGTACACACATTTTACTGTCCTCTGCCTCATTCCACCAAGCTAAAAACAGCATGGCAGAAACTCACCAGAGAAAAAGGATAATGGGCTACTAGCTCAAGTCCAAACCTTGAGGAATGGCAGAATGGGAGGGCAGAAAATTAAAGAAAAGTGGTACATTAGTTTGCAAACAGTATATACCACTTCCAGGTCTGTCCTATGGATGGGCTGAGTAATTTCTCTCACTCAGCATAGTAACAGTGACCATGGAAACCTAGTATATCACAGCCACCTGGACTGGAAAGTTCTCAGTGCCCTGATCACAGGTACTGGCTTACCCGGCATGTGATTCCCAGCCAGTCCCCCTCCCTAACGGACTCCCAGACTCCCCAGGGCGGCTCGGCTAAGTGGCTCTGCTCCAGAGAGCAAGACTTGGGGTTCTAAATCAGACGGGGAGGAGGCCACTGCTGCCTCTCTGAGCCACTCAGGCTTTATGACGACACTGCAATCAGGGGGACTTCAGAACCATGATGACAAGGAAGATGGAAAGAGCTGTAGAATAAAACTGTCCGGGATGGACCAGCATAATGCTGATCATTCATCCATTTCTAAAGGAGGGATGCAGAAACAGAAAGACTCACAAAAGCACAAATAACCCAAGTTATTGTCTTAAAATTACATAAAATACCTCTTTCCCGACCCATTTTCCCTTATCTGAAGGCTTAGCATAGAGGAGTATTAAAGCAGGTTCTTCCCCATGGATAGTCCACATACACACAGCTAAGAAGTGATGACGACTGTGGCTATTTCCCTTGTTCTCCACTCTCATCTAGAATGGCTAAAAGTTGTTCCATAAAAACTCCTTTATTCCATCTCAGTCCGAGGAGGAAAAGGACAACCAATCCCCTCCTGGCTTTGGCTTCTAAACACCTCATGTTCAGAAATAGCCTCCATGGTTCTACTCCTTCCTCCAACGGACAGTTTCATTCTGCAGACCTCAGCAGGGGAAGAGACAACGACTCACGGGTCACAGCTTTGTTTCTAAACCTTGATTAATGATCTTTAAAACATAAGGCCAACAGAAGGCTCAGTGACCCAGCTAGGGACTTGTTGGAATTTAAAACTATCAGCTACAACAACAGCACAGTGGCAGAGCATTGCATGCAAGATGACAGGCGAAAAAAAAAAAAAAAAAAAAACCATGCAAAGAAGAAGCACTGAATGGTCTTACTTGTGCAAACTAGTGTCCAGGCAAGGTGGTGAGGAGGGAGGATGGGGAAGCATTAGGAAAAACTCAGGTAAGTTCAAGTGCGCCAACAGTCAATGAACACAATCAAGCATACTCTATGGTATTCCAAACTGTAAGGAAGAAGACCTGTTTCTCATCTCAGGCTGCTGGAGTGTTCAGGCCTACCCTTTGGAGGACTAAAGCCTCTGCCAGGGCCCCACTAAACTATGGCAAGGTCATTTTTTCCTCGTTTTAAATGGGACCGGGGGTAGTCATCTCAAAAGGAAGGAACTAAATCCTGTTTCTAGAGAGAGGTTTTCTTAATTTACTTAATTAAGTTAGAAACTTGCCCCAGCAGTTCAAAAGCTCTGAGCAGAATGCCTCACGGATTCAAGGCAAGCTGTGGGCCCAAGAGCCAGGGAACTGCACCTCGGAATTTGCTTTCCTAACTAGTCATTTCTTAAAAAGTTTCCAAATAAGCTCATTGCCTCAATCAATCTGGAAGGGAGTGAAACGCAGAGACTTTTCCAGAATGAGATGGAAAGGACTAGCCTGAATAGTGTTCTAATCCACTCTTGTTTTAAAATATTTTACTTTCTGCTATAATTATTTTAAGGCAATGGTAGAGAAATCAGTATCGTCTGTAGCAAAATTTAAATCTTCTACTACTCTTCCCATCCTCCCCACTAGGAGAATTGCAAAATTTTTACTTTATTTGGGAGGAGAGGTTTTTGCTATAGGGCACATGCACTCACCAGAAGATAGAGACAGAGAGAGACAGAAAGCAAGAAATCACCCTCCAGGGGGGATGGCCACACCGTAATCCCATCTCTTCCATTCTCCTCTCGGGATCTTGGGCATGCACGAACACGTGCCCGGCGTGAGTTTAAGCCACCGGGTCCAAGATTTGAACTGCGGTCGACTACATGGAAGTCCAGTGACATAGCCATTATGCCAACTGCTGGTCCCGCAAAACTTTTACATTTAAGTTAAATTAGCAGTTAAGATCTTTAAAGGACACTATTTTCTTAGTCATCTAACTTCTTCCACAGTGAAGAAATCAGAGGATGGTTAAAGGACAGCAAGGGTTAATGGTACCTGACTACCGCTTTAAATAAAAATCTGGAGGACCAGTCAGGTTGTGTGCTGGTTAAGGTGGCTGGATCCTACATGTCCCAGAGGCTTAAAAAACACCTGGTACATGTGTATGTGTGCCCAAAATCTGGAGTGGGGAATAGAGGAGAAGGGATTGCAGCGTGGTCATCCCACAAAAGTGCTTTCTCACTTTCTCTCTCTTTCTGTCCCTTCTCTCTCCTGTGAATGAACATGCCCTATAGCAAAAAGAAAAAAATAAATAAATAAAAACATCTGGAGAGCCCCCTAAAGGTTCTACAAGAAACTAGCCAAACTGGTTGTCTCCAAGAAAGGGACTTGAAGGGTGGCAGGCAGGGATGGGGCAGATTCTTCACTATATAGTCTTGAATCTTTTGTCTTATGTGTAATTTTTACCAATTTTAAAAACGAATAAAATTAAGGCTGAAAAGAATCTGGAGGCTAAGGCAGAGAATACTGTTGCCAGGGTTAAGAACTGAAAACCTCATGGTTCAGCCACAACAGTATTGCCATGCACTGTCACCTGTGCTAGGGTGGACAGGTAAGAAGGGGATAGGCTTCTAGTGAGAATCTAGGCCTCGTGGACACAATGTTTCTTGACTGTCTAAACATACAACTCATTGCTCCTCAAGTTGCACATTTACGTCAGTATTAAGAGCAGTGGCAGAACCATTACTCAGCTGACTTCCCGAAAGCTGCCCTTCTGAGGCCCACAGGGACGTGCAGGGGCCAGAAACATTAGCTGACATCAGGAAACATCTCAGCCCAGGGCTCAGGAGCAGCTCAAGCTCACCCCGCCCTACTCACTCCCCCCAGGAAGAGTCACTTAGCAGAGCCTCCCACGAAGGAGGCAACTCAGGTCCTCCTGTATTTACCATCCAGATCCTATGCACTTCCATACTGGCCTCCTGGGGACCGTGCTGCAGGAAACCCACACTCAAGGTGTCCTTTCCCCTACCTATCACTCCACTAGATGCTACTAAAGCCTGCTCGGGCTGTGGGGAGAAAAGGTCGATGGGAGCTGCACATTCAGGTTCTTCTAGGCATGGAACCAGTGTTATCTTCTTTTCATTACAAGATACCCTAGTACCTTCAAAAGGAAAATTACAATGTATTTTTTTGTTTGAATAGGGGACTGCTATGATACTGTTTGTATCACAGTGACAAAGGGCAGAAGTCCTTTCGCCATGAAGGCTTGATATTTTACAGTCAGTTTTCAACAGATTGTGAATGGTGGTAGTTCAGTGAGTTCAGTGAGGTCCTCAGCACAGGCACTCCTACCCCGTGAGGACAGAGGCAGCTCCCTATTAAGAAACCTCTCAGAGTAACAGGTGCACACCTAGGACCTTGGGCAACAGTATCATCTGCATTATCTCCAGATACTCAAGCTTGAGGAACAGACTTACATGCTAGCAAGGACAGAAGCCACAAGGAACACACTGCTAAGAGAGGGCACAGGGAAGGTGTTCCCCACAACATAGGAACCACTTCCACATGGGGAAATCAAATAAGGCATAAGTGAGTACGCCAAGCCATACATTATAAGCCAGCAACCAGCATTCCCCAGAATTAATGAGCCCCACAGACATAGCCACAGGACTTACAGACACAAGTTCTAAGCCTATTCCTACAGATGCTTGGCCACACCATTTCTGCAATCTCATACAATCAATGTGACCCCCAGTTAACTCTCTGGACATAACAGAAATCTGTAAGACATGCTAATAGACCTGTTTCCTTTGGTGCTTACACACAGGTTTGTTTGTTTGTTTGTTTTGGTCCTTCCCCTATAAACAGAATTTTTACTGTGTTGATGTCTATTCACTCAATTTTTTTTTCTCCCATATATATCTTAAATGGATCCTAACTCTCTTATTAGTCTGGAACTCCTGGAGGGAAGGGACATTTCTTCCCCTGTGCTGCATAAAAACCAACACAGAATGAACGCATTAGATAAGCAATGCTAAGCAATTTCTACCATGGTTAAAACGTATTCATGCGCCATTTCTTCCTCCTCAAGTTCTTAAATTAGAAAGTGCTACATGCTAATGTGAAAATTTACATTCTTCCTCCAATTTATTTTGTTCTAATCAGGTTCCTTATCTGTCTAAAAATCTCCAAATAATTTTCTTGCTCTGTCCAATGGATACGGGATAGTTGCAAAAAAATAAAGTATTTCCTATTTTTCAAAGTTAACAGGATACTAACAAAAATGTTAACAACTGAAATACTTTATAAAATAGAAGGTCTACTTCCCAACCTCAAGCAGTTCATACAAAAGCGAACAGGCTTGAGGATTCATTACCATGGATTAAAGCCCATGGGGGCCTTCATCATTAGTCCTGAACCTGTTCTGAGATATTACAATTGTATTAAAAAGGCCCAAGGACAAGGGCTCTGACAACTTGTCTTGTTGGTTTTAATTCCACTGACCTGACTCTCCTTTTCTGATATCGCTCACTTGTAAGCCCTGCAACCTACATACCACCCAGGCTGGGGTTGGCATACCCGCTTATTGCTGCAGCTTGCCAGAGAAGGGATAGGGCCTATCTAAGGGAGAGGGGTCGGTGGAGTAGTCCTGAGGCAGCACACAGTCTTACCGCATCAAACTCTGCTTGATCATCCTCAGGTAGGTCGCTGGTCTCATAAACATCTGGCTCGTTCCTGGCCTGCAGGTAGAAACAGTGACCACCCCACCTCACTACTCAGCCTCCACAACAGCTGGTACCCCGCTCCATTTGAACCAGCGGACAGAAGGTAGGCTATGATGCCAGGGTTCTGTCCTCCACTTGCCCTGTGAACAGCGTGTCAGTTCCCCTGTCTCAGCGGGACAAGTGGGGCCTGATGGTACGAGGTGAGTATAAGTGGTAACAAAGATGTAATCCTGAATCTGGAAGGGGGCGGGCCCTTGGCAATCTTGACCAGAGTAGGTGAGGGCTATCTTTGAGTAGGGCCCTGTAACCACTACCTGGCACAAGGGCTGAGAATGACTCAAGGCCTTAGTACCCAAGGACCTCTGCCCCAATCTCCACCCCAAGAATGCAGGCGGGGCAGCACAAAAGAAGGGTACAGCCAGCACGTGCATGAGGGAACTGGGGGCGCACAGGACCCCGGGAGGACGGAGTTCTTCAAGTGGCACAGATTCTGTCACGGTCACCTCTTCCTTGGCAGGACAGAGGCCATCACCAAGTCGCCTGGTGTGTGTGTGCGTCGGGTAGAGACGGGGCTGGAGCTGGATGTGGGGCGGCACTGGCGGCTTTCACACGTTTGGTAGAAACACTCAGGTATAAGTGGGAAGCGCCCGGAGGCGATTTCTGGGCCGAAAAACGGGCGACTGCTGGAAAGGGGGCCTGGGCGCCGTCCAACGGCCCGGACCTGTCGGGCCAGAGAAGTCCGAAGGTGCAGCGCCAGTAGGGGAGCGAGCGGCCGGGGCCCTAGGGAGCAAGGAGGGGCTGCAGGAGGAAGGGGTCGGGCTGGTATCTGTTGGGGGTCCTCGGGAGATCGGGGGCGCGGTCCTGGGGAGCCCGGGCCGGCCTGTACTCACAATGCCGGGGAGGTCGGCGTATTTAGGGTCCGCCATGGCGGCGGCGAGGCGGGGCTGGGGGACCGGGACCTCGGTGGAGCCGGGGCCGGTGTTCGGGTAGGGGAGAGGCTGGGTCCGGGTCCCCGACTAAGGCGGCGGCAAAGGGAGCGGCAGAGGAGCAGGAAGTCTCGCGACAGGAGTAGCACGGCACAAGGGTAAAGCAAAGATCGCGAGAACAGCTCGCCACCACACCCCTGGAGAGCCCGGGATTGGCGAGAACGAGGCCAGGGAATGAGGTAATGGTAAGGGGACGCCAGCTAGGATTGTGGGATGTGTAGTCCCGGTCAGCGGGGGCTTGGGTGGGGAACCATAACGCCCCTTGGGGAGCTATTTCAAGCAACTGCTTCTATTTTTACATCAAATCTGTGAAAGAGCTTTTATAGTTACTGGTTTGGACTCCCAGAAATTAAGTGGCTAAATAAAAATTACACAGCTAGTCATTTTGTGACACAGCCGGGGCTTTAAACAACTGGTAAAATTTAGAAAACGCTTAGGGTATGTTATTGATGGAAAAGTTAAGCTGTCTTCGGAAGTTAGGGTTGTCAGATTAAATACAGGATACTAGTTAAATTTGAATTACAGGTTGAACTAATGGAATTTTTAAAAAGTTAAGCATAGGTCAAAAATGGTATTTGAGACACATTCATGCAAAAAAAAAAGATTATCTGAAATTAAAATTTAACTGGGTGAGGTTGGCAGGTGGCATGGTGGTTAAGGGTGCTGGGCTCCCATGTATCTGATCGCAGTTTGAATCCTGGACCTGGTAGCTTGCTTTCTCACTTTCCCTCTCTGTCTCTCTCTGTCTGTCCCTCTCTGATTGAATTAAAATAAATAAACAAATAAAGTTAAATAAAATCATTATTAGCTGGGCATCCTGTTTTTGTTTCAAATATGGCACTCTTATAGTTCATAAGTAGGTAAGTGGTGGCTCCATGTCTGTTGGAACCCCCTGTCCTCTTAACCACTTCACAAAAAGATCTTTGAATTTCAATAAAATTAAGGCAGCAGGCATGGGTGTGGTGGCTGTGGTGGTGTGGTGCAGCAGGAAGGCACAGCTGAAGAGGCTAGGACCATGTGAAGGCCTGGGTTCCAGGGTATGTGGTGTGGGGCAAGAAAATCTCTACGTGGATGAACCCTGTCAGAAATATCTCTCTCTCTCTCTTAAATAAATAAATAAAACCTTCTTGAGGATTGATATAGTATTGCTACCTTTTTATTTTACCAAGTAAGTACATTAAAAAGGGAGAACCTGCTATCGACGGTCACCATCATTACTTGGTAGAACATTAAGGACACACTGTCAGCATAAAAAAATAGTCCTTTTGAATGTAAAAACCAGCTTTATTAAAAAAAAAAAAAACTCACCGCATTATTCTTTTGGGAGAGAGGACATACCTGGTGAACTTTTTATCAGTGGCCTTCTATGGATTGACATCTTGAAACTTCTTCACTAAGGATGCCACCTTGGAGCCCCCGGGGGCCTGAGGCTGGGACGTTTCCTGAGCTTGCAGAATGCTGTGACACTTGGAAACAGTGCCAAACCAAGTGACTGGAGAGTTCCTGAGTTTGGAACTCACTGTGATTCTCTCTTCTGGCTCCTTTCCAAGCCTCTACCTCTCTTTCTCCATAGTCTTATGGCCATCCCTCATGTCGCACTCTGTTCTTTCAGTTCTCTGAAGATTCAAGGTGGGTTAGGGGTGTAAGCCCAACATGAGAAAGGCCCCTCAACTGCACTGAGTGATCAGATCCTGTCTGGCCAGGCTAGCAGCCTCTCCTCCTTGCCCCACAGTGTCTAAGTGACCTTACACACTTACCAGACAATAGCTGAGCAAACCTCCACCCCCTTCTCCTTTCTTCCATCACCCTGCCACTCCCCTTGGCCTAGTGCCTCAACTCCTGCAGTCCAACTCTCTGTTGGCCAGCAGAGGCCTGTGATGTGGAGAAAAATCAATCTGACCAGTTTCTAGGTGCTTCTGCCCAGGGGCTGCAGCATGAATCTGACCTAAGGGGCGGAAGGACAAGGGATCTCTGGGTTTGGCTTAGCATTTTCATTTTTATTTACTTATATAGGAAGGAGGTGAGGAAAGCAGGGTTGCATGTTGGGAGTCTATCCAATGGTACTGAAACAGAAAATACACTCATGTAGGTGCCTAGACTTGCCTGAAATCCAAATGGAGGCCTTTGCTCTAGAGGTCCTCTCAGTGCCCCTTTGGCCTTACCCATTCCTATCATCCTCCTTCACTGCTTTCTGACTGACTTCTCTTGCAAAAGTTACCTCCATCCCAGCCTCAATTTAGAAGACAAAATTAAGATTAGATCTGCTTTTGAATTCTGATAGCACTGAATGGGAGTTTGTCTTCTCTCAAACTGGGGACTTAGTGTGCATTTGGGGAGAGAGCAGGACACGACACATCTTTAGATGTAGAAGAGAAAGGGACTCTTCCTTGACACTCCTCCCACTGTGGGATCTGGACACCCACCTTGCCCTTCAGGGCTGAGAGGGTTGGAAGCCCGACTCCTGAGCGTGTGCGGAGTAGGATGAGGAAGGGTACTGAGAAGTGCACTCCCAACGGGAGAGAGGACTGAGACTAGGGCAGGCCCTGGAATAAAGGGAATGGAAGCCTCGTTGACCCTCTTCCTTAGGCGACAACCCCACTTCAACCTCCTTATCCCTTCCAGGGGGTGGAGTCGAGGGAGGCACAAACAGGTCAGGGTGTGGGGGTGGGATGCTGCGAGTAGTGGGGAGGGGGGAGGTGAGGGCTAGGTTATCTCTGAGCGTTAGGGCCGGGGAAGGAGGTCAGAGAAGAGCCAAGTGCCCACTTTTGGGTGGTCTACGTGGAGGGGCTCGCCGCCCGCGAAGGAAGCGCCGCCCCCTCTCCTCCTCGCGGCCCCGCCCAGGCCCGCAGCGCGGCGCTGCAGCGCGAGGGGCGGAGAGGCAGAGCGCCGAGAGAGGACCAGACGCCCAGGTCGCCCGCATCCCGGTGCCGCAGGACAGGGAAAGCGCGTCCCAGCCCTGCTCCCTGGCTTTCGCCCGGCGCCCTCAATTGCCAGCGACCGACCGAGCACCTATCCTGCGCCTCGGCCTCAGCTGAGCGCCCCCTCCTCCAGAGCGCACAGCTCCCCTGCAGCCTACGAAGTGTCTCAGCCTCTTGCCGGTCACCACCATGGCGGAGACCAACAATGAGTGTAGCATCAAGGTGCTCTGCCGATTTCGGCCCCTGAACCAGGCCGAAATTCTGCGGGGGGACAAGTTCATCCCCATTTTCCAGGGGGACGACAGCGTCGTCATTGGGGTGAGTGCCACCCTGGGGTTACGGGGGGATTCGGGAAGGGTTAGACTCGAAGACAGTCTCCCCTAACCCCCGCAGAGCCTTAGTCTCTGCCTGTCACTCTGGCCCCCTCCCCGCCGCTCATCCCCGGTCCCCTTCGCCGCAGCCCCTCCTCTCCCCTGCATCAGGATGGCTGGGTGTGGCCTGGCCTGGCCAGAGGCTAAGTCTGCGGAGTGAAAGGGGGCTACTTCCCCACCACCTGGAGACCCGGCTCCCCTGTGCGACTCCCTGCGGTGGCCCCACCCCTCAGAGCCAGCCCCGTATTTTCCTTACGCTTTCCCTCTCCTCCGGAGAAAGGAGCATCTTCTCTTTGTTTTTGGCCCAGATCTCTCCCCCACCACCTAGGAAGGGAGGGGGGACACCGGTGAATGGGCTAGATGGAAGATGAGCAGTCAGGGGCAGGGTGGAGGGTGGTCCGTGGAGCTGTGGATAGCGGTGGGCTTTTGGATCAAGCCCTCCATCATCCCCTCAAGGAGTTACAGCCTGGACTTGGTGGGGGAGGGGGCATAGGTCTGATGAAGGGTTTTCTGGGAAAGAAATACATTGATGCCACACCCAACTTTGGGGGGAAGCCTCTGGGATCCTAAAGACATGTCTGCTTTTCTGTCCCAGGTATAGGAAGAGGATTTTAGACTCCCCAACTGCCCTTACCCCACAAATAAAAAAGCCCAAACCCTGAGATGCTAGTAGGTACTTGCTTATTCATTCTTTCTCTTGATCCAATAGAAAGTAGCAAGCTTCCTCTACCCTATTATGACAATCTCTATCTATAGAAGAGATCGTACTAAGGAGAATTAATATTTACTGTGCGCTTGTTACTCTTCTGCATATTATTTAATCTCCTAAACAACACTTCAAAGTAGTATCAATACGTATTTCCATTTTACAGATGAGAATATTGAGGTCCAAAGAGGTTGAATGACTTTGTCAAGGTCACACTGTCAATTCACTGTTAAGTCAGACCTGTGGCTCCGAAGCTTACACCTTTTCTTTTACATCACATTTCCTCCCCAGGTTTCTGTTCTGGACCTTTATCTGTGACGGTCCAAAGGGAAATGTCTAGGCTCCCTACTCCACCTTTCCTGGGTTGGTAGGGACCTTCAGGCTGTGTGGGGTGAAAGGATTTGAGGTAGAGTTATGTAGATCTGAAGGGTGCTGGACCAGGAAACAGTTGCCAGTTTGAGGAGGGAGGGCAGTCTTCAAGGTCAGGGGCATTTCTTATGTATCTTTGATCCACAGTCTTGGCTCAAAGCAGCTGGAAACAAGCTTGTTAAAGGAATGAAGGAAAGGAAAGGAGGAAGCCTGGGCCTTCTGAGTCTGTGAGAATGAGACTTTGAGTAAACATGCCTTAGTGTGAGACCTGCCTACCTGTCCCCAGAGGCCCTCTACTGTCACCACCCTGTGAGTTCACCCATATTGTGAACTCAAGGATGCTTTCTGTGTGTGTGTGTGTCTATGACTGTGTTTTTGCCACATGGAAAGGGCCTCTGTTTCTTTCTGCCCCTGGGACTTCAGGCTTTGCAATCTGGTCAGTATGGCCAGGCAAAAAGCCTGGCCAACCCCGGGGATTCCTCTCTGAGTAGCCAGACAGCAAGCATCAGCTATGAGAATTAGAGCTTGAGGTTCCCTTGAGATGTAAGGGCTGTGATACAGAAGTGGTGGGGGGGTGGGGGTGGGTATGAGGAGCAAATCCACAAAAGGCTTCTACCTTTAGGCCTGACTGCTCTGGAAGGTTTTTGTGGCAAGTCAGAAGCAGCTCATTTAGGTTCTTTGGGCCACCCTGGTGTGGGGGGATGGGGTAGGGGTGATGTTGGCAGGAGGGGTTGTGGTGCTCTGTCCAGCAGCCCAGCTCAACAGCAGAGACACAGTGGGAGGTAGGTAGGGAGGAGAGATGAAGAAAGGCCCAAGGCCTCCTGCCAGTTCAGAGTCTATCTCAGGTCCACAGCTGGTGTTTCCTTGACTGTTTTGCTTGATACTTGTAAGCTATACCTTTGTCTCATTCTCTGTCCCTCACCCTAGCTCTCCCTGTCAATCTTTCACTCTAAGATAAATGCTTACAGGGGGCCATTTTGTCTCAGCAACAGTCTTAGAGCTTGCCTTCCCAGACTTCCTGTTCATTCCTCATTTCAGGTGATGAGGGCTGCAGGAGACATGATTTTGAGGACATGCTTGAGGGTCCCCCCCAAGGGAGAGACATCTCTTAGGTCTTTCCTCTTTTCTCCCCTAGCTCTCTTTGGGGTCCAGTGTGTGGGAAATTGTCTGAGAAATTAATGGAGGAAGAGCTTCCAGGGTGTCTGGGAAGGTGAGGGAAGAGTGAGGAGGTTTTGGAGAGATTATCCCTTTTCTTCCTGTGCAGGCTCTCCCCTTTGCCTCTGCAGCACTGCGGTTCACTCTGGGCTTACGTTCGTGGGCTTTGTTCAGCAGAGAAGAGGGTAGGAGACTTAGCTGGAGAGACAGCTCTGTGTGCCTCGTTTCTCCCCCACTCCTCTGACTTCTCTCAGGAATCTGGGGGATGAGGCTGAGCCAGTTAATAGCTCTGCAGCACTGCAGTTCACTCTGGGCTTACGTTCGTGGGCTTTGTTCAGCGGAGAAGAGGGTAGGAGACTTAGCTGGAGAGACAGCTCTGTGTGCCTCGTTTCTCCCCCCACTCCTCTGACTTCTCTCAGGAATCTGGGGGATGAGGCTGAGCCAGTTAATAGCCTGAGTCATAGTGGAAGGGTGTCTGGGTCACTGTCAGTGTTTGGTGTGCATCTTGTTTTGCTCTTTGCATACTCGGAATCCAGAGCGACTTTTTCACTGGACCCATTCAAGAATCTCTCTGTTCCTCTCTCTGCACTGGCCTTTGTCAGCAGGGTCTTAAGGCCTACTATCTGGGCTACTGCATCTGTACCAGCTGTGAGAGGGATTTCAGTGAGGAAACACACACACTCCCTCTCACTCATTTCTGGGTACCTATGCCACCTCCCTTAGGTCTCCCAGTGGTTAAATGCGTTCTTAAGGAGTCAAAAATAAAACACAAAAAAACAGAACCATTAACTATTTCACTTGGAAATGCTAGCTTGGGACCTGCAGGGTTATTGGAGCAGAGTCAGTGTCATCGGGGGTGGCCCGAGACTCCTTTGATATCCGAAGGGAAGGAGCAGGGCTCCCCTTAGCTTTGGGGATCTCTCATAAAGGAAAATGGAGAGGGGAGGTAATGTTCACTGTGGCCAGTGTCTCTCCAGCATTGCCATGGCAACAATCCCCAGGGGTGTCACTATGGAAATCTGGCCGGCACTTGAAGTTCAGCTTCTATCAAGTGCTTTACAGAGGGTTGAACAGGTTGGTCATCATCAGACCCTTGATCCTGGCCCCCTCCCTTTTAACTTTTGTCAGCACACAGGGTGGAAATTACAGGATGGTGTTAAGATACACAAACGGATGAGGAGACCAGAAAGAGCCTGGGAGTGGGGTTAAAGAAAAATGAAGAACCCTGGACTGTGAGACTCTGGAAGGAGGTTCTTGAGCAGGGCAGAGATGGGAGAGAGACTGAATGTCAGGGACATTCCTAAAAGGTGAGGGACTGCCATGAGCATTTCTGATTTAGCTGGCCTTCTGGTCTCCGACGCTGCATCCACGTACAGGGTCTTCAGTTGTCTACAGGCGGAAGGCGGGAGATGCTGCTGAAAGGATGAGTGAGAGAACCACGTAGCTCCGAAAATGGGATTGAGGCTGGAAAAAGGGAGTGGTGACAGGGTTTATTTAGTTCTGTCTGGAAATGCTTGGAGAATAAGCCAAGGGGGTAGAAAGGGAGAAAGGAAGGAAAAGCCATAACAAGGATCTGATGCAGTGCTAACATTTCAGGGTTTTGCTCACTTTGGCAGTGCTTGGGATCGAAACCATGCTGTATTATTTCTTAGCCGTGTGACTGTAGGCAAGTCATTTGGCATCTCTGAGCCTCAGTTTCCTCATCTATAAGATAAGAATAATAGGGGACCAGCAGTTAGCATAATGGCTGTCTCTGACTCCCATGTAGTCGACCGCAGTTCTCGTCCCGGACTTGGTGGCTTAAAACTCATGCCGGGTGTGTGTGCATGCGTGCCCAAGATCCTGAGAGGAGAACGGAGGAGAAGGGATTGTGGCATGGCCATCCCCCCAGGGGATGATTTCTCGCTTTCTGTTTCTCTGTCTGTCTCTGTCTGTCCGGTGAGCGCACGCGCCCTATAGCAAAAACCTCTCCAAAAAAAAAAAAAAAAAAAGAAAGAAAGAA